TGTGTGTATATATCAATATATATCTATGCCTATATGTTTATGCACATCAGTGAAACAAAACCAAGAGTAGTCTGAAATATTGTAACTTTTCAGTTTAAAAAACAAAATTTGTAATAGTTGTCTTCTAGGAAAGCAAGGTTTTGAGTTGTGTTTCTAGAGATCTGAATCAGCTTTATTCACATATTGCCTGGGAATATAGCTACACCAGTTTACACACTTCTTGATAGCTGAGTAAAGAGTATTTAAAATAAGAAGAGAGGGTGGCTTTTTTCAGCTCTGAGTGAAAATCTTTTGCTGCAAGTTAAATCTTTACTACAGGAAAGACTAGTCAAAATATTTTTTGATGCTTGAATGTACACGTTTAATAGAATGGTTTATTAGTGGCATATGGTAGGTTGTATACAGAAAATGATCAGGCTTGTATGAAAATTGTATAAAGACATGGAGCTGTTGGAGCGAGTTCAGAGGAGGGTACTAAGACGGTGAGAGAGTTGGAACACCTTTCCTACAAGGACAGGCTGAGAGAGTTGGGGTTGTTCAGCCTGGAAAAGAGAAGGCTCTGGGGAGACCTTATAGGGGCCTTCCAGTACCTGAAGGGGGCCTACAGGAAAGGTGGGGAGGGACTTTTTACAAGGGCCTGCAGTGATAGGGCAAGGGGTAATGGTTGGAAGCTGGGAGAGGGCAGGTTTAGAGTAGATACAAGGAAGAAGTTCTTCTCCCTGAGCACGGTGAGACACTGAAACAGGTTGCCTAACGAAGTTGTGGATGCTCCATCCCTGGCAGTGTTCAAGGCCAGGTTGGATGGGGCTTTGAGCAACCTGGTCTAGTGGGAGGTGTTCCTGCCCATGGCAGGGGGATTGGAACTAGATGATCTTTGAGGTCCCTTCCAACCCAAACCATTCTATGATTCTATGATTCTATGAATATAAGATGCTTGTTCTGGATTTCAGAGACCCAGAAAAATATGGAGTAAAAAAAATCTGGGTATATCTTTCCAAAAAGATATAGCAAATGAAAAGCAGGTTGCAGGATTTGCTTTTCTAAAATTGCAAATATTTGTGCATCAGAGATGAATCCAATTTAGGATTAAGAGCTCAGATCTGCACCTGCTTCTCATTTTTTGAGGGGCTGAGAGCAGTTTACTCCTGCTGCTAGTGCACAGATGGAATGCATGGTCTCTGAGTAAATTTGCCGTGGTTAGTACTGTAGAAAGTTTCATGATTTGCTTTTGTTTCAATGCAGTTTATATTAAAATTCTTTGAAAATTCTTTGATTTCTCGAATAAATGACAGAAATGATGGCTGTGAAGGAAATGGTGGCTGTGAAGGAAATGGTGGCTGTGAAGGAAATGGTGGCTGACACTTGGCCGTAATGTGATTTATAGAGCAAAATATTTCCGGAAAACATTTTAATCTGAATTTTACCAGTAGGCATTAAAGCCTGTCCCCTTTTATTTGGAGAAAAGATGTGAGCTGTTGTAGTTTTCTTAGTGCTGTGGCCAAACACCAGTGATCTGAATAATGAAAGGAAAAGAATTGATTGCTGCTTCTGAAAGTCAGTCATATGCATGGTTTTGCCTTAAAATCTGGAATAGAAAACTTTAATATTGTCAAGTTGCTTTCTGTGTTATATAACCGTAGTGCATTAAGCAGTTGTACTCTACATTTATGGATGATGTTCTTTGTAATGCTACAGCTTAAGTGAAGTGTAGCTCTATTGTTTCATATAGAATTTAAAATATAGTGGGATGTTATTTGAGGGTGGG